CGGCCGGCGCGGGCCCCATGTCTGGCCCGCGCGGAGCGGAGCAGGCGAGGTGAAGCCCCCGGGCCGGCAGCCGGAGCTCGTGGCGGCGGCGCCGGCTCCATGGGCAGCAGCGCACAGCGGCACGATGATGGACGTTAACAGCAGCGGCCGCCCGGACCTCTACGGGCACCTCCGCTCTTTCCTGCTGCCCGAGGTGGGGCGCGGGCTGCCCGACCTGAGCCCCGACGGCGCCGGCCCGGTTGCGGGCTCCTGGGCGCCGCACCTGCTGCGCGGGGTCCCCGAGGTGACGGCCAGCCCCGTGCCCACTTGGGACGCGCCCCCGGACAATGCCTCCGGCTGCTGGGAGCAGATCAACTATGGCAGAGCCGAGAAAGTTGTGATCGGCTCCATCCTGACGCTCATCACGCTGCTGACGATCGCCGGCAACTGCCTGGTGGTGATCTCGGTGTGCTTCGTCAAGAAGCTCCGCCAGCCCTCCAACTACCTGATTGTGTCCCTGGCACTGGCCGACCTCTCGGTGGCCGTGGCGGTCATGCCCTTCGTCAGCGTCACCGACCTCATCGGAGGCAAGTGGATCTTTGGCCACTTCTTCTGCAACGTCTTCATCGCCATGGACGTCATGTGCTGCACAGCTTCGATCATGACCCTGTGCGTGATCAGCATCGACAGGTAAGGGCCGGGGCGCCCCGTCCCGGGGTCCGGCTGGGGATGTGCTGGCTGCTCAGCCCCGCGCTCTCGCTTTTCCGGGAAGGATAAGCCAGACTTCACGGCGGGATGAAGGGCTGCGCTTAAGACATCAACCCCCACACATCCACCCTACACCAACCAAACAACTTCAGTTACGGCAAAGCCGATACACACCTTTAAATGAAGAGCCCGAATTGTTCTGGTTTACTATAGTGAAGATGTTAAGACCAAAGTTAAGAGTATTTTAAGCATTAGCAGTTCCACCAGGGGGTCCCTTGGCTTGGTTTTCAGAAGGAAGGGCTTTGATCCTCTCTGAGCTTGACAAACCCTTGCTGTGAGCCTGGAAGAGTCAGTTCTTACTTTAAGAAATCAGTGAGAGAAAAGCCACCTCGCTTCCCTGATTGTAGGAGCTACTCCCCCGGCCAATGAAAAGACCTAGGATGGTTCCAGAATTGGAGGTCTACATGTCTTACCTTGCACCCCTGTGATTGCTAATTCTGAAACTTATTCTTTTGGAAGTCGGGTTTTAGAGTTTGGCAACGTTGTCTGTATGGCACAGGCTTACTGACTGGAGCCTTACTCCCTGTCTGAATGGTTGCTTCTAGCCTTTCATCATATCCCTTGGGAATCTTCTCTTGAGAACTCCCCCACTGGAGTAATTGAAACAGAGGCTGACCATCTGTCAGGGATGCTGGGGAAAAAAATTTCTGCCTTGGATGTCAGATTGGACCAGGAGACAGAGGGTTTCTTTAGACTCTAGGATTACAGGATTCTGCATTGGAGCTAGTCTTTGGCTCTGGAAATACTGTGCAATTGACAACTTGAAGTATGGTCCCAGTGCTCTTTGGCCACAGAATAACTCTGCTTCTCTTGAAACTGAAATACTAGACCTTAATATTCACACGCAGAATTCTGCTGGTGTTTTAAAACCAGCACAAGACTGGTATCCTGTTGTGTTTAGTGATACAGAGAAACGGTTGCTTATTTCCTTAGTGGATCTACAGAACCTTTAAACGTGTAGACCTTTCAGCATAGGAGAAATAATTGATGCCTCCACATTTAAAATGACAGTGTCTCGGAGGATGGAAATTTTCCATCCTTTTCCTCCCTGTAAACACTACTGTTAATGGTTTGTTGATATTTAACAAGTTCTGCTATTTTACTGCTTGGCCAGGGTTTATAATTACTGAATAAAGGGAATGATAGGAAAGGGGATATTTTCAAGGAAAAAATACATCATAGCTGCATTTAAAGATCTAGATTATTTTTAAAAAATTGATCCTGCCATTTTATATATTATGTTAGGATCTTCTGAGAGCAAACAAGGAATCGTTTTTGAGTAGAGCATGAACTACGTATATGGGAATATTAGCTCCAAACTTGACAGCTGAAGTTTGGAATTACCATAGTTAAGAATGACAAAAACATATTCCTTTATAGCCTGGCTGTGGCAGCAGGAGCTAGGAGAGCACACTCAATATGCATAGTAAGTGTGTAGATGAACTATAAGCACAGAAACTCAACTGCTCAGCCAACCAGGATGGTGCTTCTTGCGTGAATGGAGGCCTTTAAATGGAACTTGAACTTAGTGTAATAAAGCAAATAACAATTGATGCTGCAAGTAATACATTTATAATATTTTTCATTTCATAATTGATAAGTGATAAACAGTACAGTGTGCTAACTTGTCTCCAAAGGCAGCCATTGCTTTCATTCTTCTGGGCACATTTAGGTTTGGCCGAGACCACCCTGAGATTCTTGTACATGAGTGCTAAAGGCTTTCTTCACTCAGTGTGCACGTGTGACTTACCAGCAGCAGGAACGTTCGAATACAAAGAAGAGGTTAATCCTTTTTGGCAAGAGCTTCTAATTTTTCGGTCAACTATATCCTTATGCTTGTCACAAATTGTAGTAATATAGGGATATATGTTCTATTTCTTCATTTCCTGTGAGAATTGCCCCATTGGTGAATTCTGCTTAAAAATCATTTTAGAAGATGAACATATCATTTCTTTAGATAAAATGAAGAATTGATAACCTTGGAAAACACAGGTTGCTTTTCTTCCAAGAACACACAGAACTAAAAATGAGAAAAAGGAAAATGTATTTGATATCTAAGGTGAATTATTCCTGAAAAGAATGTTTTCTGCAGTTTCACTGTAGACCATGACTGGTGATATAAAAATGTGCTAAGAAAATATGAAAAAAAATTTAATCTTCATTCATTCATTTATCCATTCCCTCTTGAGTGCCTAATACAGGTTATGCTGTGCTTTGTGCAGCATAATCAAAGGTGAATGACAATATTCCTGCTTTTGAACCCATATCATATTGTGAGAGTTGGGATATCTGTTGGGCATTTAATCTGTCTGAAAGGGAGGCTTCAACACTCCCATGCCCACCCTTTCTAGATAGTGACTCATGTTCACTGAAAATGTAGCAGCCGTTGGATGGGCACTTCCTTACCTCACTTTCCACCACCAAACAAACAATTTTTCCTCGATCTGTACTGTTCTTTTTATTTCTCTCCATTTAAAAAGCAAGAAGACATTGTGTCCCAGCAAAGACCAAACCACCTGTACTTCATATCCCAGCCCCTCTCACCTTCTCGAAGACTTTGTTCCTTCCTTGATCCCTCATCTCTTCTTTGTCTCCAGCTTTTTTTCTCTACCAGGTCAAGCTTGATCTTCTGTCTTTTTTTTTTTTTTTTTGTGAGGAAGATTGGCCCTGAGCTAACATCCGTTGCCAGTCTTCCTCTTTTTGCTGAGGAAGATTAGCCGTGAGCTAACATCTGTGCCTGTCTTCCTCCATTTTTTTTTTGTATATGGAAGGCCTGCCACAGTATGGCTTGATGAGCAGTATGTAGGTCTGCACCAGGGATCTGAACCTGAGAACCTCAGGCTGCAGAAGCTGAGGGCACAAACTTAACCACTACACACCGGGCCGGCCCCCATTGATCTTCTGTCTCTAAGAACTCCTTCTTTGGCCTCACTTTTCCTCCAGTTCCTGATCCACTTCACAGTTAAGCTCCTCAAAGAACTGTGCCCACAACCTGTCTTTCTTTCCTTACCCCTCAGATAGATGCATTTGACGCTCACCAGGTCTACTGCAATGTCTAACTGGCCTTCCTGGTTCCACTTCTGTCCACCCTCATCCGTTACCTATGAAGAAGCTAGAATGATCTAGTGTAAAACAAAATTTTTTTAAGTGAGATAAAATTTTCCTATAGTGAAATGCAGATATTAAATGTATAATTTGATGAGTTTTGACAAATGTATATACCCATGTAACCAATACTCCAATCAAGATATAGAATATTTTTGTCATCCCAGAAAGTTCCCTTGTGCCCCTTTTAGAATGATCTTTTAAAAATAGAAATCAAATTAGCTTTTATACACAGTTTTAGAAACATGCAAAACAGTTCTATATATTGATTAGGGAAGCCTATATAAGGAGCGAAAGCATAAAATAGTGCAGAGGAATGATGAAGACCAAGTTCACGAGAGTGCTTTTCTCTGGCGGGGTGGGGGGAGGAGTAATCAGGGAGTAGTTCACAGATCAACTGTATTGGTAATGTTTTGTTTCTTAAACTTGGTAGTGGATACAGTCTTGGTATTCTTTGTATAATCTTCTGTATGTCTGCAATATATTTTTTACCTTTTTTTGGAAATACATACTATAGAAAAGTGAAGAGTCCTAAGTGTAGAGCTTGATAAATTTCCACAAAGTGAACACATCGATGTAATCTCCAAGTAAAACAAGAAATCAAACATTACTAACCTCCCAGAGGTCCCCTCCTGCCTCTTCCCAATTTCTAATATTCCCAAAGATAACCATTGTCCTGACTTTTAGCATCATAAATTAGTTTTGCTTTGTCAAAACTTCATATAAATGGAATAATAGTATGTACTTTTAAATCTGGCTTCTTTTGCTCAACAAAATGTCTGTGTGATTCATCTATAGTTTTTAGATTATCAGTAGTTCATTCATTTTTATTGCTGAATAGTAATCCATTGTATAAATATACCATACATTTCTTTAAAATTTGTTTACATTTATGTTGTCTACATTTCACCTATAGATGGACATTTGAATTGTTTCCATTTTCTGGCTATTACTAACAATGCTTCTATAAACATTTGTGTACAAGTCATTTTGCGGACATGTTTTTGTTTCTTTTGGGTAAATACGATACTGGGTGACGAGGTACCTTTTGGCATTTTAATTCTATTTACCCCCTCACGCCTTTTGTATTATTGTTGTCATGCATTTTAATCTACATATTTTTAAAACCCATCACATGGTATTTTTATTGTTGTTTTAAACAATCAATATTTGCAGATATGAAATGTACAATTTGATGAGTTGTATTTATGCATGTGTTTACCTTTTCCATTGCTCTTTATTTTTTCTGTATTATTATGTTTTCCTCTGGGATCATTTTATTCTGCCCAATTAGGATTTGTTGACTTTTTTTTTAAGTGAAGGTTGGCTGGTGACAAATCCTCTCAGTTTTCACTTGTCTGCAAATGTCTTAATTTTATTATCATTTCTGAATGATATTTTCTTAGTATGGAATTCTATATTTGAGATTTTTTCACTACTTTACAACTTTATTCCATTGTCTTCAGGTTTCCATAATTTCTTTTGAAAAATCAGCCATTAACCAACATTATTATTACTCCTTTGAAGATAATGTGCCATTTTTCCTGTGGCTGCTTTTAGGATTTTCTCTTTGTCTTTAGATTGTATCAATTTTTCTATGATGACCATAGGTCTGGAATTATTGATTATCTTTTGTTGTTTATTTGCTTTCAACTCTGCTGGAGTTCTTAGTTATTTTTGTATTTGTGCCTTGATATCTCTAATCAGTTTGCTATTATCTCTTCAAATACTTTTCTGGTCCCATTTTTTTCTCTTCTTCTATGTCTTCAAATTTATGTAAATTAGACCTTTTTGCTCTAATGTCTCTTGCACTCTTT